GTTTTCAAAACGTTCAACTTCATTTGGACTATGAACTGAATGGTAACCAGGGTAGTATTTAACTTCACCACCAGAATATTTTGATATACAACCTACAGTAAATAAAATGATAAACTACTTCATCGTGTTTCTAATGACCGATTATCTTACTTAATGTTGCTAAATCGACATAATGACTATTTAATAAAAATAAATCGCATGCAATCTGTTGTGATGCATAGTCCAATGACATCTTCTTATAATAATCTGACGTTGGTGCAACATTCACTGGCTCTTTTCCACTATCCTGACTGTGTTGCGCTTGTAAACTACCTGGATTTACATTTGGTATTCTTGTTTGAACAACAGTAACTCGACCACCCGTCGGACCCAATAGTTTAAGAGCTATTTGTAACGCGGCTCCCAGTGCCGAATCTGTCTCATTATTTTCTTTGAATACTTTTGGCAATTCATTTAAAAAAGTTTCTACAGTTGTACGATTTTCGCCCAATGTCACCATTAGACCATCCGGTAATGGAAGAAAATCATCTTGAGAAAGAAGAGAAAACGGTTTTATTGTACAATATACTGATCAGAATGATGTATTGAACGAGGTTTTTTGACGCCCAGTCGAAGCAAGACGCTTCTGTTTAATTCTGGTACTAATCTATATGATTCCCTTACTATCAATATTCTCTAAATCTGGTGCAATCATCATTCGAAATGTTCCATTCTGTCTTTCAGATAAATCATAAAAATGTAAACGACTATCATAGGTTAAAAAACCAATTTGTGTACGCGCATCGCCAGGTAATACGCTAAGACTCTCGGATAAAACATCGCAAAATGATTGCAAATATCCTAAAAAAATAGAAATTTTCGTTTTGTTTTGTTTATATTTCAGCCCAACGCAGTCATTAACCTGTTTCTATAGCGTTATGAGAAACATCCAATAGAAAAAGATACATAGCAGGCTGTGGTGGTCGAGCCTAAAAAATATTAAAATTGTTACATTTCATCTATAGATAAATAAAAATTGTGTACCATATAATCAGCTGTCGCCGTATATTCTACTGTACCAAATCGAACTTCTGGTCGTCGAGATGGATCACCGTATGTTTTTGTTACTGGATCAAATAAAAATTCTTGTGGTACTAAAACAAAACAACATATTCATTTCTTCAATAATTTATTCACAATAAAACAAACTTACAATCATTGACACGAGAGCAAATACTACATCGCCAACGTGTATTATCGATAAAACTGATAAATGGATTTATATAAGATTTACAGGAGTCACAACGAACAATTTTCATTCCTTGAATAACACTTAAACTCTAAGAAAAATAAAGATTAATTGGAAAAAAAAGAGATAGACGTAAAAAAGAAATACCTCTAGATCTTTAAATGGATGAATTAGTATCCCAAATGGTAGACGACTTTTATTTAAAAGTTCTTTGGTCTGTGGTATAACGTTGAGAGTGGATCGCATTACACTAAAAAATATTGTTATTAAACGGAAAGCAAAGCTTTTGAAGAACTTTATTCATTTACTCGGGACTGGCATTCATTTGCTGATTTTCGTCTGATAATAGCGGGGATGTTGGAGCCTCTTCAGCATAATTACTAACAACGCTTTTTGCTTTTAATAAATCAATCATTTCACTATTCTGAAAATATGACTTCATTCAATAGATATCTTATGGTTGAATTCAGTACAAAGAGCGATGTTTTACTTACGTAAGTACCCGTCTTATCCTGAACAACAGGCATAGGTGGTGTGGTGTATGGTTGTGTCGATTGTGATGGAAACATCGGAGTGGGATTATATGGTTGAGAGAGTAAAGGCGGAGGTGGTGCAGATTGATAAGAATTATACGCTGTTGAAGGTGGATATAGCGGTCTGTGTTGTGGTGGTGTAGATGAAGCAGAGTGCATTGGCTGGCTTTGATAATTAGTCATGGGGGGTGGCGTAAAAGAGTTCGATACCTGGAAATAGAATGAAATGAAAACCTAACAGGAATGAAGAATACAAAAGAAACCAGCAGATCATTACATTATTATTATAATAGGGAGTGCCCAGATTCAAATTTGAAATGGGCGGTGTAGTTGGAGTTGAATGAGTTTGTAATGATGGTTGATAATGATTGTAATTATTGACAGAAGGTGGCAGATGAGGCGGTCGAGGCTGTGACAAAGAATTTGAATTGATAAAAGTATTTTGTGGACCATTTTGCTGAGCCGAAATGGGTGGAAAGGCCTTCAGACGTAGAAAATGAGCATTTATTACTGTCTAGAGTTCCAAAGAAAAATGCCTACCGGATTGTGATTTTGTCTATCGCCGAATAATGGTACTTGAGGCCTAATCGCTGTCATTGAAATTATGCCCGAAAAATCCAGTTTACTAAACAAAATTATACATATGTGTCATTTATATCATGTTCTCACAGGTTAAATACTGTACAATGCTCTCACTAAGGTAAATACTGTACAATGACGAAAAAGTCTCTTATTTTGTACACTTTTGTTGCGCTGAAAAATCGCAATTGATTGGGCAAAAGTCTAAGAGAAAATCAGGCAAAAATTAACATTTTGGATTCTTCCTATCTTTATTAAGATACATATTGAACCATTCTACACTATAAAGGTCGCTGTTTGTGTGTATTTCTCAATAACCATAGGAAAAACTCCAAATAAGGATAACAGATTCAAACATGTGGCTGATTTCCTTCAAAACAATTGCGATTTTTCAACGCAACAAAAGTGCACAAAACGAGAGACTTTTTTCAGTACTCTACACATCAAAGGGATACACTTAGTTCCCCTTGTCTGTATCTCGCCGGCAAAAGAGTTTTGCTTGTTAATAAAAAATTTCTTCAATAAATTTCTAAAGAATTCGTTTGCTAAGCAGGTTTTCTTAAACATGATATATTTCGCTTCAAGTACTTTTTAAAGTAAGATAGAGATCATATATCTTGCACAGAAAGCAAATTCCGGGGCGCAAATAATGGGAGTGTGTCCCCATACCAAGCCCTGGTCTGGTACGTTGACTAAGACGAAAAAAATGTGCTTATTTCGTGCACTTTTTCGTTTTTGAGCAACTCAAATTCATTCGATGAAAGTTTTGAGTTTAGACTAAAATAAAATGAGATTTCATTTTCTCTTTTCAGCTTTTTCGGACAAGCTGCGGTTACTGAGATATTCACAAAAACAGCGTCTTCTATAGCGTAAAATAGTGAATATTTCAGTAACCGCAGCTTGTCCGAAAAAGCTGAAAAGAGAAAATGAAATCTCATTTTATTTTGGTTTAAACTCAAAACTTTCAACCTGGATGACTTTGAGTTGCTCAAAAACGAAAACGCGTACGAAATAAGCGAGCTATTTTTTTTGAGCTTTTTGATCTCAGTCCATGTACCATCCGCCTAACATAGTAGCTGAGCTAAAAACAGATCGCCCATCGTTAGGATAAACTAGGCGCAAAAGTTGAACGCACGCTTGCGTTTGACTTATCTTGCTTATTATTGGTGGATATCGCATTAATCTACACTTTGCTTTTCGTTGACATTATAATTCAGTTTTAGCCTTTATGGAATAGAATTGAGTGTTATTCATATTTTATAGTCAAGTAAATTACTCAATCACAGTAATATGTTGCGTAGACCTCGGACTCAGAATTCAACAAGTTCGATTTGAGCGAGAACAGAATAGCGGTATAACAGCAGAATTCGATTGGTGAGCATAGCCGGTAATTTTTTTGAAGTGTGTATAATAAGAATGGTGGTGCAGAAAAGGGAAAAGGGAAGGAAGAAATACAGTATTATACATATACGACTTGAAGTCGGCCGCATTTGACTATGCGCATCTTATAGAGCACGTCGAGTTACGTGGTTTTTTCAAGAAAAAGAATGCTCTTTTTGAGAACCATGGCTCGCAGAAGTTGTTCTTTTTACATTAGGAAGGACCCAAGAAAGCTCGATTTTCGGTTTTACTATATGTTTAAATATTTTTTGAATTAGCCATTCGATAGAGCACAAAAAGCTGTACTTGTCTTGTAATTCTCAAGGTTATAATTTATAAGGGCTCATACCCCCCAAGTTGAGAACAAATACAAACGCCAGAAAGCGGCACTTTTGTGAACGCTAGAAGTCAAGCAAAAGTTATTTAAATGCCAGCTACTCTATAGCCAAAATATAGCGTAAGCCTTGCTCGTTCCAACTACAAAAGAATTGGTCTTTTAATGTTTTTAGTTTTTGAGTTTTCAACTCCAAAAGAGAATCAGGTTTCCAAATGTTCCCAACTTTAGAGTCGACAACCCGAAAACTGGCTATCATAATTTTTTGAAACTTTCTTTCTAAAATCTACTGACCTATTATTAAAAAATTCCCATATCTCATTCGTACAACGACTGCTGGTAGGAGAGGCCCAGTCGACAACTAGGCTTACATGCAGGCATTTTTTCTTGATGATTCAAGTTTTTTCTATTATTTTTCATGAACTATAGGCAGATTTTGATGCTGAATTTTTTAATGGTATTAGTTTTCTGAAAAAAAAGTTCAAACTAAGTTTTCCCAAATTCGCTAAGAAAACTCGCTATATTTTCTATTCTGTCGTTATACGCTCTCTTCGTTCTACTAGAGTTTGGAACCGATCCGATAAACCGGTCTGTTTGGGGACAGACAGAACAGGTGGTAAGTAAAATCTTTTCTTTTTCGTTCTTTTTTTTTCGAAAATATTTTTTTAAAATTCAGCATTAAAAAATGAGTATGAGAATGGTGCTTGATTGAGGTTGAAGTTATCGAGATGTTAAGAATCTAAGTAAATTGTGGATGAATAATCGTTAGAACTAGAGCATATGGTCATCCGCCCGCCAAAATGAGAAATACAAAAAAAGTCAATACTGAAATAATAATCCTATAAAAAAAGTTCCAGTGCGGCCTACCAGTGCATATCGATGCGCATGGCATGCCATCGGTGACTGGCACTGGTGCACACCCGTGCCCAGCAAGTGACGCCAACTGGTCGCAGTTTAGACTGGAAGTAAATTTCAGGCTAGAGACACATTCACCGAAGGAGGTAAGCAGCATCCAAGAAATAGAATCCTATTCAAAATTTATCACTATCATAAAAATTAATGCTATCAATGATGCATGCTCAATAGCAATACCTAAAACAAGCAACAGTCTACGATCCTATATGTAAACCAAGTAAAGGTAAAGTACCTTTAGATCTATTAAAACAGAAGCATCATTTCAGAAGATAGAAAACAACACACATTGAATCAGATAAACAACACTACACTACTAAAAAATAATGTGTCGTACACGGTAAAAAGAAAAGCGTCCAAAAAAGCGCCTACTAGAAAACGTCCACGAGAAGTATACTAAAAAAAGCATCGACAAAAATGAGTCCACAAAAATTCGTCCAAGCATAGTATTTAAGTGCATACTGCATAGATAACTCGTTTCACTGCACTAGCTTATCACAGAAACGACTGATTTCCTGCGATAGTGTATCGAACCAGCAGATCATGCGCGCTTCCAAAATATAGTGCGTTCAAAACTGAGTAAAATATTATCTGGAAATCTTTTCAAATTTTGTTTTTCCATATAACAAAAAAAACATACGAGAAAACTAGTCCACAAAAAAAACCGTCTAGCAAAAAAGCATACCAAGATGGGACGAAAAAACCGTCCACTAAAAAGCGTCAACTTTTCGACGTTTTTTTTTTTACCGTGTATGTGTCGCAAATTGCGACATAATCATCTGCGACACCGGGAGTCATTTGTGACACATTTGCATGCGACACATTCCGCTGAGTATTTCTACTATAAAGAAAACAATGGAAGTTAGTTATTTTTGATCTCTTATTAGATTTTAAGAATATTTTTAGTTCGTCTTGGGTGCACTACGTAATGTCGACGAACTCAATCCGCCCGTAATATTCACAGGCCTTCAAAATATTCAGTTTCCCAGATCTGAGATTAATAGCGTAGTCAAGGCCTCGGATTGGTTAGTTTTCGTCAAAGAAAAAAATGTCTAACATAGAAAAAAGGTTAAAAAGACTTAGACAGGGATCTTTAGCCACGAATAACATCAATGCAAAATTGAAAGAACTTAAAAAGCCCGAAAATTTTCTTATCTTTTACATATTAGTGCCACATATAGCTCATCAAAATTGAAGAGAAGCCGAGAAAAATCCTAATAAAGACTATTGAAAATAGTAAAATATAAAATTTAGCAAGTTTTTTAACAGAGTAGATCCTCAAATGACCTCAAGAACTGTGTCTAAAAGCTCTTAGTAACGGTGGCACAAACATGCGACACATACTTTCGCGACACAATTTTCTCACAGGAGCTGCGTCACATTTTACTGCAACACAAAATGCGACACAATATTTTTCACTGTATATTACTGTTATCGAGAACTAGCTGCAAATTCAATCAGAAATGATGAAACTATCCAGGGTTGGGCGAGTTTATTTTTCAGTGAACTCGGACTTGGACTGGAGATTTTTTTGAAGGACTCGGATTTGAACTTGAGTTTTGATATTTCGATCTATCCAAGCAAGTCTCAGTAACTTAGCGGGAAAGCTTCTGTGTGTTCCAACTACATCGGCGTCTATTAAGCGTATTTTTTCTCAATCAAGTTTTTTGATTAGACGCGAAAGAGTAGGTTTACGAAAAACAACTTATGTCAACTGACATTGTTAAAATGTAATGGAAGTTTACTTTAGTAGTTACTTTTTCGGTTTCAACAGGATTGGTGTATTAAATGGCACAGAAAAAGACGAGAAATAAACCACAATGATCAAAAAAGAATCCAAAAAGATTACCGGACTCGAAATAGACTCTGGACTCGGGCTAGCCCATCCCTGAAACTAACTCATTTCAAAAACTAATGGTACCTCTAACAAAAAATAACATGATTGGTACTCAGGTATGGTCAGTAGTCAAAAGATATCATAACAAAAGAGTAAAACAAAAATTTGATGTCATTCACTATCAGAACCAAATGGCAACAACAGATCATCAAAAAGATCATCATATTGAAACAGACTATGTACAAAATTAGAGATAACATTCTCGAGTCAACTAAACTAAAGGCAATTGAAATTTATAATTATTGAAGTTAAAACTTGAAGTTAAAAAGAGTCTCTATATTAAACTGGTGTTATTTGAGCCCAAAACATTCAGAAGTCTTATTTAAAGGATTAAAAATTGTCCCAACACCTAGATCAATAAATACAATAAGTAACATTGTAAATGCAGAAAAATCATTGTGTTCAACACCTTCGATAATTGCTACGGTAAATGCCACGAGACCTCATGACTTGCGATACTTTGAAAAGAGTTTAATGCGAAACCTCTTCGACCAACAGCACTCAAAAGAGTTTAATACGAAACCCGTGTAATGACTAAACCTTATTAAGATTTCGTAGATTAGTTCGATACCTGATGAGGTTTAGTAAAGTATCACGAAACCTCATAAGTTCCATAGAGTACCAATTTGTTTTTCAGTGCAGTACGAAATCAAACGAATTTAGTAAAATATGAACGAAAAAAAGAAATAATTCTATTTAGTATTTGAAAATACCAGATATGATTTTTATTCTGGAGAAAACCCCCTTTTTGGCACTGTAAAATATCGTCCAACTTTCCGCTATAAAACGGTTGGTAACCTACAAATCCAAACCTTTTTTCAGTTTCCAAAAACTCCAGGCCGTATCCTAAGAAAACATGTTGGTATCTCAAGATGCCATTTGATATTTCAGAGCTAATCAAATACCCTATGGTATTTTACCATTAACACAAAACTAATTGGGTTCTGTAGGATATCCCTTACGGGTACTTTAGTAAATCCTTTTGGTATCCTATCAAAAATGAAAACCCATAAAGGATATCTTATAATATGAAATACCCTCTTGGACTTTTTGTTAGTCTGCTAAACGGTACACTAGTAAATCAAATGGTTTAGCAGCTGCAGCGTAACTTAATTTGGTTTTATATATCTCGATGCAAAACTTTGTTGTGTACACAGTAATAGACTACCGAGAGTCTGTGTTTACTAGCGTTTTTGACGAACAAGTTTTTGAAATCTCTCAACCAGGTTCATATCCACTTTTTACTAGTTTAGAGAAAGGACGTCTAGAATCGAAGGAAGACATCGATGTACAAATAATTACTTTTTAACAAATTTACCATCATCCAGCACGTCTTGACTAGTGTCAAGACTATACGTCCGGACGTATGGGGAAATTTCTGCACGGACTAGTCCGAACGCCGGTCAACCAGGTTTTTTGCTCACTTGGGATAAACGAAACGATAAATGGATGCGATCTTTTCTTCCAAAAAATAAAGGACGTTAAATTTTCTAGAAGTTCTGATAACTTTCTCCGATTTGCTGGTGAAATCGAGCTTTAGCAGTCTAAAACTTCGGAATTCGAAGAAAGTTTTCAGAAACTTAGAAGAGAAGTTTCTGCATTAAGTTCTTGAAATCAGAGAAAAGATTGAGAACAAGTACGATCTATGTGTTATTAGTAACACATAGATCGTACTTGTTCTCCATCTCAAGAATCAACTGACCATACTCTTGGCTTCTCTGGATATTATTAATGTACGCTTTCAATTTCTTTAACTGATCGATCATCGCTGTACATACGATTTTTATTCTTGCTGCTACCTCTAAGTATTCTGGACATAATGCTGAGTCACCTGGATGAGCCAGGTTATAATTGCTACATGTCATATCATTCGATGAGCAATTCTCATCTGAATGTTGCTCACCGCACATTTTACATCTCGTTTTTATCCGACAAGTTGTTGCTACATGACTAAATTTCGAACAATTTGTACATTAAACCAGCTTTATTCGATTCTGATACTGTTGAATTATATAAAGATGGCCTGCAATATATAGATGTTTGAAGTTCAAGGGTCCCTATTTTAGCTCTTTCGTTTCTACTATCAATCGGACAGATATTGTATATGATACTGGAAAGACATCTCTTCGAACTAGTTTGTTATTGAGAACAAGTAGTCGACTCGAATACGAAAATACAGTGTGGAAAGAAGAAAGAAGAGTTTTGCTAGACAACGGATGAAGTTAAACAGAATAAGTCATTCCAGTTAGTCAACTTAAAGAAGATGAGTTTTTGTGGTGAAACACAATAAGTCTTCTCGAGTTTCACTCGGTCGGCTTAATAAGTAAGACGCAATACACGCATGACAGCTTGGAAACAAAAGAAGAGAAATATTTTTTATCGCATGCTCTCTTGAATTTAAAAAGTGAAAAATAGAGTAATTGTTACATTAAAATTGACGTTATGAGAACCGAGGGGTGTTGAAAAACGCTGTGCAAAAAAGTTTATTGCTTTTTTAGTCTTTGATTTAAACTTTATTTATTCAAGTGAGTTCAACCGTATAAAAATACATTATAGCTCTCACTAGAAATAAAGAAAATTGAGAAAAAAACAAAAAAAAAAAGAAATACAGAAAGAAAGAGAAAGAAGAAGAAAAAAATATCAATATAAAAAAAAATAAACACAAAAAATTAGTAAAATCTAAGCGTTTCTTTTAAATAAGATGTTACAACAGTGAAAGTGTGTGCTGTAGTGTGTATGCGCGTGTCGGAGGAAAATATATCGAACAAGGAGAGATTTGGACCAAGTTTAAGCTCAGTTAGCATTTTTTGTCTCGCAACATGATAATAATCACAATCAAAGAGAAAATGCTTGATTGTTTCTCGAGTACCACAGGAACAATTCTCACTGAAAGCTAGATTACGAGTGTACAGTTTAGTATTTAACGGAGGGAAATCGACCAAAAATTGAAACATTAACTTTTCATACTTGCGCTCAACTAATGGTCTCTTGAAGTAAGTAAGCGAATAGTTGTTATATATTTCTTTTCTAAACTTTTTTACCGAAAAGATGTTCTTAAAAGTATCCATTTTCTTGGAATTCCATTCTTTCACAGATACGGGTAAAAATGTGTTTTTTGAGATATCCTTTTTATATATTTCCTTCTTCAAAACTAAGTTATTGTTTGAGCGTGTGTTATTTTAGTCTTTTTACTGACATTGTTCAACATTTGAATACTTGTTTGAGATCGCTTCCGTTTACTGAGAGTTAAACAAAATCCTAGACCATAAGACAAAAATCACGAGCACTTTTCAGTTAATTTCAGATTTTAAATGAATAAATGTTTGCCATCTCAGATAAAATGCCTTGTAGAAAATGCAAGGGAATTGCTTCTTGTTGGTTATGGACCTCAGATCCATATTCCAGTATATTTGTGTGAAACATGTTAATTATCATATGAAAGAAAGGATAATTTGTTTTAAAAATATCCCATTTCATCTCTAGTCTAGATAATTAACTTTCACCATAATAATAATTTGTTTTTACTTAAAGGTATCTACTCGATATTTCTTTAATACCATTAGTCCCATTCAATTATATTCTCTCTCTTCTGACGTTTCTACTTCGCCTTGTTTCTAGGCTATGCACGTATCAATAATAAATATACACTATTCTGTTATTGCTACTCTGCTAATGATGATGTTTATATTTTTCTATGCCAAAAAGATATCTGCATATGCCACTTTTCTTTTCTTTCATAATTATCTTTTACAGATAGAGAGTAAAAAACATCACCAAACTTTATTATGTTATCGTTTTTTTTTCAAGAATAGAGTAAGTAACTAGTAGCAACGCTCCACTGTTGAACACTACACACATATAAATGTAATTAATGATCGTTTTATTAACATTTGTAAGTTCATGAACTTGTTAACGCTTATGTTATGATAGTGTGTCGTTTTACAGCATTGACTTACGACAACTGCGGAGATGTCCTTCGGTTAATGCTTAATTTAAGATTATATTGGATAGAGTTGCGATAAATTCAAATAAAAACTAAGATTTAAGTCAAGATTTGAACTATTCACTTAAGAATATTTGATAACACAATCGTTTAAAATTTAGTAGTAAGTCACGTTATTGTTCTATCTCGCATCTAAAATTCAAATAATTTATGTTTTTCTGTTCAATTAATTGTTAGTTTTGAGCGTATCCTAAAATTTATTCATATATGTTTATGACGAATGTTATTGTTCTTTTCTCCTTTTTCTGCATGACAGTTATTATTGTTTTTTATAACGTCGAATAATATATAATAGAGCCATTGAACAATAAATTAATTTCTTAAGCAAGAAGAATGTGATGAACATTAATAAAATATCTTTTTTATGTTTTTCATCATACGCTTTCCTGATGATTTTAAAAAAATGTGACTCCGTGGAAAATATGATATTAACACCAATAAACATTATAATATCAGCGGATGTAACTTTTTTGTGCTATCAAACACTGATGAAAATCTATAAATTTGTTTTTCAATTTGAGATTTATTATTGTACCATGTTGAAGACCAGTCCATGCGATGTATGAATCGTTATGGGGTTATTGGAGCAATAATTTTTATTCTAGTTACTCTACTATATGTTTTACAACAAAAACGTATGCATTTTAAATAGTTATACTGTTTCAATATCTTTTATTAATTTTTTTGTCATTCAGATAAAATTGAATTAGAAACACGTGAGTTTGTCGACATTTTTCAACATCGTCTTGATTATATTTCAACATTGAATACGGACAATTTACAACAATTAAATGCTGTTAAACAACAAAATTTACTTCTATTACGAACATTAAATTCCATTAAATTATATAAACAACAACAGCAGCAAAATGTAGCAATACCTCCATTTAAACAATGTAATGATACAAACACCACAGTGCAACAATCGGAATTAAATGTTATTGAAACTGGTTTTCGTTTACCATCGGGTTTGAGTTATCTAAAACATCTACATGGAAAAACAAATTTATTATCGCCACAATTTCAGCGTACATCAAATTCAAAGAGGCAAACTGTATATTCAAATTATACGATTGTTATTGGTATGCCAACAGTAAAACGCGAAAAACAATCGTATTTAATTAAAACAATACAATCATTGATTGATAATTTGAATAAAAACGAACTACAGCGAATATTAATCGTTTGTCTCATTGGTGAACCGTACAATATTGAATATGTTCTAGCAACGTCACAAGAAATTGAAAAATTATATGCTGAACATATTGAAAATGGTCTACTCGAAATTGTTGCACCGCCGTCAGAATATTATCCAGATTTGAACAATTTGAAGTTAACATTAAACGACAATTATGAAAGAGTCAAATGGAGAACAAAGGTAAATAATAGTGAAGCCCTTTTGTAACATGATCATCAGTATAATAAACATTTAATACAGAAAAGAGAAAAATAGATTGAAGGTAGAACACAAATTACAGATCGAAATGATTAAAATAGATTCCATAAGCTAACATTTGTAGGATAAACCATAGTGAACGTGCTTGATCGAAGTAGTGACAGTAAATGGCTAGTTAACTGATGTTTGAAAAACGTTCTTATAATGAGCAGTCAAAAACTGGTCTTAAAATGATCGTTTAACTAGCTGTTTTTACACTGTGAAAAAAATGATCACTTCTAGGCCTTGTATTAATACAGGACGTTCAGATGATTAAAACACGAAAGGTTAACACGTATTTTTAAAACCATTAACTTGTCATAAACTTTAAGTGTTTCTTCAAAACTGCAATACTTGGTTCTTTTACTACAAAGTACTTTGTAAAAACACTTGCAGTTTTACAATTGACAACTACACAGGTAAATTTACTTGTGGAAAAAATGGCAAATACCGACTTTGTTATGCTAGCGAAGTACTTGGACGCAAGTACTAAGAAACTTATTTACTATTGAACTAACGTGATTGTCTCTTTGTTTTTTTTTTGGCAGCAAAATTATGATTTCAGTTATTTAATGATGTACAGTCTTTCGAGAGGAAAATATTATATGCAATTAGAAGATGACGTTATCACCAAACCAGATTATATTAAAACAATTGAAACATTTATTAAACAACAACATAGACAAGATTGGTTTCTCTTAGAATTTTCAAGTTTAGGTAGATAAAAAACCAACTTTTGTTACAATAGAGGATTAAACAAACTAGTTCTTATAGTTATCTTCGTTTTTGATATCAGTTTATGGTCACGATTCCAGTGTCTAAAAGTAAACGAGATAGAACAAAAAAAATCTGATTCATATAATCGTAGTATTGGCTTTTAATTCCAAATGGTATTTTTATCCTAAATTAATTTGTTTACCGAGTCAGATTGCTTTTTATTTAGGATTTATTGGAAAATTAGTCCATACGTCTGATTTAGATGCACTTATTAATTTTTTTCTACTATTTGCTACTGATAAACCGATTGATTGGCTTGTCGATTATTATATGGATACAAAATATTGTCATTTTGAAGCAGATAAAAAATCGTGTACGAGAACAAAGTCATTATATCGTATACGTTTTAAACCATCATTATTTCAACATTTTGGCGTATTTTCATCATTAAAAGGAAAAATTCAAATATTACAAGATAAAGATTTTGGAAAAAAGTTAAAATTATTTTTAGCAAATGTGAATCCGCCAACGGTTTCATTAAAAACAACATTGAAACAATCCAAGAAATATTCATTGATAGGTGCTTACACTGGACAAAATTTTTTTTGGGCTTCGTATCCGAAAGGTAAGACGCTCATAGACCCACAAAATCATAAGAAAAACATTTATTTCTGTTTTCTAGCTAATGATATTGTTGAGTTTACGTATGATCCGCCTTTATCAATAGAAAGGTATGATTTATTCATTGATAAAATTTTATTGTACGAGTTTATCTTTTTAAACATTAGATTATATTTCGAATCGGGTAATCCTAGACATCCGGATGACCGCTTTTTTAACACAACCGTTGATGTACGACCGTCCGTATTGCCGAAAGACAAAAACATTACTTATAAATATGCTGGTCAAGGGTTTTATACAGTTGCAAATTTTTCACATGTAACTGGAATTGCCGAAGCAACAATAGAAAAATCAATCAATCCTATATCCACAGTGAGATTGAAAGTACATTATAAATCTGACAAATGGGTTATTTTAAATGAAGTAAGTGTTTTGAGGACTTTTTTACAGAAAAACTTTTTGTGAATAAAGTAGACCGTAGTGACCTTTCAAATGATTTTACAATAATTGACACTGAAAAAGCTTACTCGAAACTGCTATCCATTTCAAAATATCGTGTTCGTGAATATTTTTCTGAATACTTTTTGAAGAAAGCACGACAAGAAAGTGATGGTTTTATCATTGTGAAAAGCAAACTTTATTCTGTCTTTTCATATATTTGATGTTTAAAAACCTTGGTTTTCACATTTTAAAATCGATTCTGTAGATCTTTGATGATAAGCTCATATTTCTACTAGTCTCAACTGTAGAATTAGATTGAAAAACTAAAATAGACTAGATCGTGAAAGTTTAAAGTGTTTTGGATCACGTATGAGTGAATTATATAATGTCTGTTTTCTTCTCAAAATAAACAAGGTCATGTAGGTCATGTAGATCTGAGAGATGTCTCATTTTAATCAGAAATTTGCGGACTACAATCATGCCTCATTAGAAAAAGGTTTTGTTTATTTTTAAGAGTTCTTGAAAAACTGGTTTTCTAGAAAACCGGATCTTCAAGAGTCATGGGAATGAATTCCTTTTAGGGTATTTACTATCTCACTGAGGTCTATCGATTCATGTACAACTCATTGGAATCGGAAAGTTACATCTCGAAAGGTTCCCTCGTCAGCGTAGTCTATAACCTACCTTATCATTTATTTGTGAGGCTACTACAAGGGGGAAACAGCGGACTCCAGACTTCAACACGCCAACTGACTCCACTTGACTCCAAATGACTCCATGCGTCTGGAGTCCGCTGTTTCCCCCTTGGGCTACTAGATGCAATGATAACGAATTATAGGAGCGTCAGAAAAGTACCTACCATTCATCTGAGAACCAAAGACGATGATAGAGACCGATCTTGCGCAGAATTGTAGAGCATACTTTGGATCATCTAGCTATTGTGTTACAATTAAAAATCTATCTCACTAATATCTCGTTTCCGTACTTTAATATAGACTATAAAATAACATCTTGTTTTTTTATTTTGTTTTAGATCTTAATTAAACCAACAAATAATGTTTCTAAATAATCTTTTTTGAAGTTTTGTATTATCAAAAAATGTTGATAGCACAATATTTTTACATGTAACAGCCATAGTTTGTCGTATTGCTAAATATTTGTTTCCACGCTTTCGTCTGAATATATGAAAAATATGAAATATTTCTATTAGTGTTTTTATGCTAAACTCGTTGTCCACCTCTCATACAATTGTTATTATTGCTGTTTTTAGAGTTTGTTGTTGCAAGTTTATATTTATATATATATATATCCGCCTGGAAATAAATCTTTTCAGCCGATTTTTTAAATTTATTATATATATAAAAATACATTTTTCGAAAAGTAATTATATATTCT